CTTATGTTTATCTTCCGTTTTCATATCGCTTCTTCTATGCAGTTCTTGATTTTCAGCCAGTGATATTCGACATCCCAATCGGCTGCCATGTTACACGTTTCTAATTTGTTAGTTCGTCTACTTTCAAAGAGTGTTCGTGTGCTTTCGGATGTCAGTTTCTCGGTGTTGTATTTTTCTGTTTACTCTGGCGTTTTTCTGGCAGTTTGAAGGCAGAATCTTGCATAAAATTAGATTGTGATCTGTTCCTATATTGGCTGATGTTAACGCTCTGACGTCAAGAACTTGTGATGGTGTGATGACTCTATTCGTAATTATGAAATCAATCGTTGATCATTGGTCTCTGGTGTTATTAAATGTGTATTTATGCTGGTTCTTGTGTGACAAAAAAGTATTATTTATTCTCATTTCATTTCTTGTGCAGGAGTCGATCAGGAGTTCGCCGTTTTCGTTAATTACTGCCTCGTTGAACCTTTGCTTTACACCCCATATCTCCTCATTTCCTATGCGGGCGTTAAGGTCCCTGAGAATGACAATTTTATGCCCATTCTTTTTTTCGTTCCAATGTGAAAATAAACGAATGCAGTTTTTACAAGACAACAAGCTCGAATGCAAAATTATCTTATTTATTTTGATGGACGAGTGTAATTTTTATGAATATTTCCTGAGTAAAGAAAGCAAATGTGGATTCATTTTATTTCTATTATATTTTATTACCCTTTCAATTTTATTACTTATGTTTATTAAATTTAATTTGAATATCTTAAGTATCTCAGGAAGACATTTGATGTCTAATTCAACATGAAAAGACACCTGTCAAATATTTTTTGCAAACAATGCAATTATCGTTGAGTGATAATTGCACACTGTGCAATTACCGCTGCAATTTTTCGATAATTGCACACTTCAAACAGACAGATTATCACACGAGGGAAATATTCAATGTAATAACTAGTAATACATAACGGTAATAATAGTAATATAAGTAATATACAGGGTTGCTCATTAGTGCGTCAAAGTGCGATATCTCAGTAAATATGAACTTTACAAGAAAATACGTCCTACGAAAGTTTTTCATGTTTAAAAGGTCCACATTTTAAAATTACTTTCCAATATACGGGGTGTATCATAAACGTGTGGTAGTTACCAACTTTGGTTTTTTAATTGGAACCGCCCCTTTTTTCATTCATTTTCAGATTTGTCGTCAAAATTTAAGTTAAGTTTGTGTCAAACGTTTTACCTGAAAAATTTACGATTTCCGAGTTATTCGTAAAAATGTGAAAGTTTTGACAGCTACTGGGTTCCACAGAAATCGATGCTGTACACTACCCGCTGCGAATTTTGGAAAACAGTTTTCAGCGATTCTAACAGAACATCATGATCTACGCGTAGATATGTTT